CCCCAAAACCCCAAAACCCCAAAACCCCAAAACCCCATGCATATTTAATGATATTGAACTATTTTTATTTTGAATTATTTTTATTTTGAATTTTCACTTTCTAATTTTGCAACAAACCGAAAGTACGAGATATAAACTTTGAACTGGGCCCACTCAAATCTTCAGGCTGAGACTTTACTTGATTCTGTATATTTCTCTTTGCAAACCTATACGAGTTGGGTCAGACAATATTAAGACAACTCATTATAGGAAGTGAAGCTGAATTACCTGCCAAAAATTCAATTGTTCATTTCTTCGAGATATCTTTCGTGTTTCTTTCTCTTCCTGATCTTGTCGAATATCTCAGCTGGGTTGGAGGCCTTCATGATTTTGCTGAAGTTCTTCATCGTCACTTCATTTCTATGATTGCTGTCTCCCATTTTCTTCTTAGCAGGACTGTTGTTAAGAGAGTTTTTGTTTGACATGGCTTTAATAGAAGCTTTCTTTTGAGAGAACTTCTTTCGGATGCTGATGGTCCTGTCAGCTTTAGGATTATACTTGACTGACTTCATGCTTTTAAAACCCAATCCATACCCATCATCTTGAGAATAACTGAGATTCCTTCTTTGCGGAGACATTTCATACTTCGGAGACAATGATGAGTAATCTTGAAGAGAAGAGTCTAAAACTTATAAAGCAACAATACATTTGAATCTCTTGCTTGGACTGTCTGCAATGTGGCTGAAAGAGTTGTTCCTCTGTTTCAAAGTATTCTTAGCTCCTTGGATAATGGTGCTTGCACGCATCGGACTTCCATAAGGACTCCTTCGTGGCTTCATCGTCAACATCGGACTGATCTCACCATCAGACTCTTCAGCTGGAACTGAATCAAAGTTGACTTTGAACAGCGACTCAAGCAGTTTTTATTTGTGCTTCAGATGCTTTTTGTCTACGTACTTGCGGTTGAACTTGAGCATCTTTCAGATGTCGTTGTCGTTGAAAGTGGTAGAAGGTGCCCCTGTGCCTAAGATAATATTAGGGAATTATCGTAAAACTCCATCGATCCATTACTCTGACTAATCATACTTCTCTTAAGATCTAATATTGGAAGTTGGTGTTGAAATAAGTCTTAGAACTCTGAGAACAGTTGAAACAAAGAGAGATTACTTCTTCTGTCTTTGGTGGGAGAACTCACTTTAATTTTTCTGTCTTTATTGTTTGTTATTAATAACTTTATAAGTTTGATTTCAAGAATAATTTTGAGATAAGGGGTTTTGGGGTTTTGGGGTTTTGGGGTTTTGGGG